CCCCCCCACCCCAAAGGCTACAAGTTTTTGTTGTAAATGTTGTATAGGAAATTTTTTCTCCTCCTTAGTTAGCTTTGTTTGGATTTTTTTTTTTTGACTGATTCACTCTTTTTTGGGGAAAGTATGAAGATTAACTCTCGGTAGACTTGGTTACTCTCTCTGTGATGTATAAAGTGGCCTGTACAGTCAGGAAGCGTTCGATGGCGAGAACTGCACCTTGGGGATAGATTTTAACGTTCGTTCCGTGCGGAAGGTCTACAGCGCAGAAGGGGTTAATCTGAGGATTGATTCGAAATAATCTTTACTTGAGCAGGGCTATGTATCTCCTGCAAAGCTGCATTACATTCTGTACTGTGTACAATAAAGGATCTTGCTTTCTGTTCAGGCCCTGCCTGCTCTGCCTCGTGTTTTGGGTGTGCCATTAGACGGTATCTGGGCCGTCTCGTCTTCTCGCCGGGGCTGGGGAGTCCCAGTGGGGTGGAGAGGGAGGCCTGGTAATGGACTTTTGGGGGCAGAAAGATGTCTGTGGTCAGCGTTAAAGAGAAGGACCCGAGTCTCCTGGGCTTTCCTGAGCGCGCGGGATCCCTAGTCTGGAAACACAGGAGCCTCCGGCCCTGCTGCACGAGGCTCGGCGAGTGCGGGCAGAAGCAGAGCCGCGTGGACCTTTGCATCCTTTGTAGGAACTCAGACCAGCTGGATGTTTTAAGTCTAAACCATTAAACCCCTTTCCTATCCCTCTTCTTCAGCAGCTGGCCTCAGTGTTGCTGTGGCTTTCCCAGAGCAATGTCCGGAGAGAGGATCCACTCGTGAATGCAGGCGCTTCCTTTTTGGTTGTTTGCAATTTAATATTGCTTTTTCCTGAGAGCTTTTCAGCCGGTAGGTATGGTAGCGTCTGTGCCTTTCGCTCATCTCCCGGAAACCTGAGCCCTTGCGCTAGCGCCCGCGCTGACTTCCTCCTCACCAAGGGCACGGAAGAGCTGGGGCACTGCTCTCCTTTGCCGTTTTCCTTTGGGTTTTTAACAGGGAAGGAGCCGAATGAGCAGCAGCCAATGCGCAAATACAACCTGGTCCTTTCCTTTGTCATCTGAGGATCTTGACTCCGATGGGTGCTTCTTCATAGCTCTGCCTGGAGCAGTGGCCTTGCAAAGCAGAGCGCGCAGCCTCCCCCTGCCATGCCCAAAAGTGCATCTCCTGCCCCATCGATGTTGGCCTATGAGGCCCCACAGTTGTGACAAGGATATCCAGCGGGGCACAAGTTGATGTAAAGATGGGACGTGTTGCAGGTTTGCTCGTGCGGACCTCAGATGTTGGCACCTGACGAAAGCTCCTCCAAGAGCCGCCAGCAGTGGTGTGCTCACCTGCTTACTGGCCCCTACAGATCTTCTTTTTAGGTATGGAAAAATCCTCACAAAGCAGGGTTGTCCTGGCTGTGAGCTGAGGGACACGGGTGGAGGGCAAAGGCTTGGGCCAGACTTTCCTAGGCAAGGAAACCAGCTGGTGAGTTGCAGCGCTGGGCCAGAAGGGATTGACTCACTTATTTCAAGGGTGTTTTTTTTTTTTTTTCTAGACAAGCTCAAATACTCTGCAACTGCCCTGCTGTTCTAGGGTTAGCGCCAGGTACTTGCTGATCCCCACTTTTCTTGGTCAAAGCAAGCTCAGCTGGGGCTTCTTCCACCTTCCAGACCCCCTGCCTTGCATTCAGGACAGAAGGCCTGTGGGCAGCGGGAGCAATCCTGCTGGGTATGCTCCACCACCGAGTTGGAGGAGACACTGGACAGATCTTTTCTTGCAGGCTGTTTTCATGCCGATTACAGAAGAACTGCCAAACTCAATTCCTAGATCTGGCAGGGGAGTGACACCAGCCCCTTTCTTTGTGGGGCTGTTCATTGCTGCACCTTGCTTCAATCTGTGCATGCATGCTGGCCATAAGCCATATTCTTAACAGGCCCTTGAAATGCTCTTCTTCTGTAGTGCATAAAGTATTAAGCTGTACCAAGAAGTGTAGCAGTTTCCTAACGTACATAGGCAAGGCTAAGCAATTCCTGATGGGCGTCCAAGCTGGTCTTTGTCTGCACGTGCTAGCCATGAGTATTTGGCACAGTTCAGGCACTCAACGCTTTGTTAGCACTCCAGCATATGTGAAGCTGTGCCCTTAGGGGAGCAAGTGAGGTGTGGAAAGCAGGGTCCCAAATCCCTAGCAAAATAAATTCAAGCCTGTTGAATTCCAGGAGTTTTATCGCCCAGGAGTTAGATCAGCTGTTTGGTCCCTGAAGGCATCTACTCACCTTCCCCGGAGATTACGAGGAAGTGGCCTCATCCAGCCTTGTTTTTTTTTTTTTTTTCCTGTGGCAAACACATACACTGTGGAAGCTTTAAATGATGTTCACATGGACTTTCTTGCGTGGAGCAACCTGTAGGCTTCTAGCAGCAAGGACAAATTCAGGCTGGAAGGAAGATCAGGAGGTCTTTAGTCCAACCTGCTTCAAGCTGGGCTAACATCAAGAGGTCAGGTTGCTCAGGGCTTTGTCCAGCTGAGGTTTGAATATGTGGGTCCAAGACCTTCCCATTCATTTCTACTGAAGTTCTCTTCAAATTCTGCATGTGCCTCACTGGACATTAGTGGGTTTCAGGAAGTCCTGTGAGGCCACTCTGAGAGCCAGCTTGCTGAGTGGGGAGTTTTTCGTTTTTCTGGTTTGTCTTATGATGAGATATGTCATGCTTTTCCTTAATATTTCTTCTTTTTCCTTTTTTAAAAAAAAAAAAAAAAAGAAAATGTATGCGGCTGTTCTGCTTCAGCTGAGACTGGAGAAGTGTGAAGAGCACAGTGAGAGCTGCTTATTTAGCAGGAGCTGCAGGATGAGTCCTCCTCTATGCGACAAGATTTGGGGCTGCAGTAGGATTCCTGGACGTTCACAGTAAGCAGCGCTTCCCATAACTCCTACCTACAGCAGGGGGCACTTGGTACAACAAACCACACGTGTCCCTGCACGCACACCCATAGCCCATGCTGGTATTCCAATCCTCTCCCAATTTTATTTTCTACAAAACGTCTTCCTCTGCCGAAAACTGCAACAATCAGTAATGTCAAGCAAGAGGGAAATCTCTGCCTCCACCACCCATTCCCCTCCTGTACCTAGTCGGGGCCAGTGTTGCCAGTGGGTGAATCCCCGAGGCAGGGTGTGGGCGACAATAGCAAACTCACCTTCCTTCTCTTGCTGTAAGGAAAGGACCTGCGTCTGCCCTACAAAGCACAGCAGAGCCCTACAAGTTCCCCTTCCAAAGCAATTCTTGCAGACCCTAAGTAGGACAGAAGGTGGTTTTCCGGAAGATGGGTAGCACCAATTTTTCTGGAGAATGGTTAGGTCCTCTGGGGTTTTATTCTGCCACCGTGCACACGTTCTAGCCTCTCAGGAGGTTCTTGCTGGGCTTTTTTGAGGACTCTCCGGTGACTTAAAGTATGGGCTCAGGAGAACTAAGCTTTCTAAGAACGAACTGATCCCAGCGTGCCCATCTCCTCTGGCAACCGGTGGAGCGGGGGCCTTGTCCCTGCCCCACGCTGGTATAACGCAGCATCCTGTGTTACCTTGTCCAGAGCTCTGCACAAGGCGAGATGCAGCAGAGCGCCTGGAGGCTCAGGAAAGGCTGCGGCAGGGAGGCGCATGCGAGGGCTAAAGAGGAACTGCGGGGAGGTGGTTTGGGTCTTCCCCTATCTCCCACTCTTTAGGGACAGTGAACGATTTGCGGTAGGACCCACAGCTACAACTATTAACCCTGACACTGAGCTTAGAGGCGACCGAAACTGAGGTTCCTGCGTGGGGATGGCTCATGGCTGCATGCTGTCAGGCCCCCGAGACCGGGCTTCAACACGCTTAGCTCTGCCAGCATGCCAGCATTTTGGTGAGAAACAGCCTCCCGTTGCTGCAGGCTCTTGGCCTCCTTCCAGGCTTTGCAAAGCAAGCGAAATGCCTGTTGAACCAAGCAAGGCGGTATTACCTGTGCCAACATACGACCTATCCGAGAGCTGTGTAAACCCAAGCACGTTAAACGTGCACCTCCAGGGTGGTGATGCTGTCCTCCGAGTGGAAGAAAT